TGAACGCAGCAGTTGGATTTGTATGTTCAGAACTGTAATTACTGAGCATGATGTCAGCGGGTCACTCAATATAAATGCTTTATCTGCCGGATGAGCTGAGAGCTTCACAGCAAACTCCCTTTCAAGAAAAGTCTGTTCACTCGATATTTGCAACACCTTCGAGCATCCAGTCCAGTCTGTTTGAACGGGGAAATCCTGAAATCTCAGAAACTACTTGCCACACTCACAGTCAAATCATGTATTTAAAATCAGCAACAAAATCTGAGATGAACCGTCCCGTAAATGTAGTTTCTTATTCTCAAATAGCGTTTGTTTCAGACTGGTCCAGCTAATGCACATGTGCAGCTCTAAGCGTGCGTCTCACCGACTGTTCATATGGCAACCCAAACTTCAAACATAGTGACGCATTGACTTACCGATTGGCTCTTTCATTTAGAAGGTGGGACTTAAGGCCCATTCACACCAAGGACAATAACTATAATGATAAAGATATAGTTTTAAATATGTAGTTCTACATAGAAAAGATTAACAGAGTCCACACCACAGCTATGAACATAACGACACAGAGGAACAATATCGCTGGAATCACTTTAACTGTGTTGATTTTTTTACACACTGACAGCCGATCAGAATGCATCCTGCTTTAAAGAGCTCCAGCATTTAAAGTGACAGTCGATAAAACTGCACGATTATAATAAACTAATATAGTTATCATTATCGTTATCGTTTCTGGTGTGAACGGGGCTGTGTTCTGCCCTTTCTCCCATTCATAGTAATGAGTGCACTGTCTTTATATATCTTTCGTCTCTTGAAAACAGTCATTTGACCATTACTTCCACACACAAAACCTGTTAAACTGCATTACAAAGAAGCAGGTTTCCATTTTCCAGGATTCACACAAGCAGCGCTTTCTGTCTTTTATCTGTATCGATAATTTTCGCACATCAGCAGCAGAAAACCCTCAAAATGAGGTGACGTCATTTGCTCGAATGAAGAATGAAGTTTCACTGTCGGTCTACTTTGACAGATAAAATGGTTTTATTGAGACAGACAGGAGCTGAGTGTGTGCTGTAGACGGCATCGCTCACTATCACCAGAGTTTGATTACAGTACACCGCCTGCGTTTGGTGTAATGAACAGTGGGGTCTGCCGCTCTAATGGCTCGATTTCATTGGCTGGAAGGCCGTTTAATGGGAATCCTGTTCAGTGCCTGTTTAGAAAACCATTAATGTCTTTTAAACTCTGGTAAAGCCTCATTCACACTGCATCTCTCTCTCTCTCTCTCTCTCTCTCTATGTCTCGCCAGTATCAGTGTTTTCCCTTCCAAATGCCCTCATCATTTATATATTTGGAAGTAAAGCAGTCGCTGCATGCAAACGCTGTCGTGTGTATCGTGTGTGTTCTGTCTGATTACAGACAAAACATCTGAACTCTGTTTATTGCTTCATTCATGTTATTATTAAGGACTTACTAATGTTTGGAGCTATTAGTAGATAGTGATTAGTTAAGACCATACAATTGTTTCTTGACACCATACAGTTGTTTTCAGTTATTAATTTGTAATTATTATAAAAATACTTTTGTATAAATAAATTAAACGGTAGATAAAGAACTGTTTAATAGCATGTTTGGTGATGTCTGGTGTCTCGCGTGGAGCATCATTCGACTTCCCTCTAATATCCTCGTCCTTACTGGATATTGTGTCAGCTCTTGTTGAATATTAATGTCGCTGCATGCAAACGCTGTCGTGTGTATCGTGTGTGTTCTGTCTGATTACAGACAAAACATCTGAACTCTGTTTATTGCTTCATTCATGTTATTATTAAGGACTTACTAATGTTTGGAGCTATTAGTAGATAAGAAGTTAAGACCATACAATTGTTTCTTGACACCATACAGTTGTTTTCAGTTATTAATTTGTAATTATTATAAAAATACTTTTGTATAAATAAATTAAACGGTAGATAAAGAACTGTTTAATAGCATGTTTGGTGATGTCTGGTGTCTCGCGTGGAGCATCATTCGACTTCCCTCTAATATCCTCGTCCTTACTGGATATTGTGTCAGCTCTTGTTGAATATTAATTGGATAATGACATGCAATAATAAGGCCCCCATTCTTTATGAACTTATGGACATAAGGATCAAAGATTTCTTCTCCTAGATGTTTGCACAAATGTGGGTTTTGTTGGTGATTAGTTGATACTCATTGAGCTTCGATCATAATGCATTCAAAGAGTGCAAATAACATATTCAAAGAGTCTCATCTAGATTTTATTTCTGAATAAATGTAGTCGTTAAAGTGGTATTTCTCTTCTTTCTTTTAGGGCGGCGCCTGGGCTGACCAATGACATTTAGGGCTGGTTCAGTCCATCTGAATTAAAGGGATAGTTCACCCAAAAATGAAACTTGTCATCATTGACTCTACCTCATTTTGTTCCAAACCTGTATGAGTTTGTTTCTTTCTGTTGAGCACAAAAGATGATCTTTCGTAGAATGTTGGTAACCATACAGTTGCTGGTAGCCGTTGACTTCCATAGTATTTTTTTTCCATTCTGTAGAAGTCATTGGGTACCATCAACTGTTTGGTTACCCACATTCTTTGAAAGATCATCTTTTGTGCTCCGCAGAAGAAAGAAACTCATACAGGTTTGGAACGACATGAGGTAGAGTCAATGATGACAGAATTTTCATTTTCAGGTGAACAAACCATTTAATGTAATTCGTACGTTTGTTTCAAGAACACATCATCATCTGTAGAGTATTCTCTAGTATTGTGGTGTTGAATGTGCTGTGGTCCGTCTCTGTGTGATGTTGATGGTGTGAATGAGAGCATACTGAAGACGAGCCCTGATGATGCATCTGTCTATCACACCGTAGCTATGTTTCCATCACCCTGCGTTTTTACGCATTTTAAAGTATCGCATCAGAAACGAGTGATGTAAATGCCAAATAAATAAAAAAATCCCTTAATTCGCAAAAAAGTGTTTACGCTTGCTTGAGGTGGTTTTTGACTTGTGCGAAAAAGGGTTAATGCGAATAATGGGAGATGGAAACGCATTTGCTGAATAAATTCCTCCATGCGCATCAAAAATGTCATGTGACTGCGCTATGGGACGGCATAACCTGACTAACCAGTGGACTGATCTCACTGCACAGCATCTGAAATGTTGTTATGGTTGTTCTGTCGTCAAAGTATTTCTGTAGAATCGCCTCCCAGAACTATCTTACACGACTGTGTTCCCAAACAGCAGCATCCACCTCCGGAAGCAATGAGTGCATTTATTGTGTTTCGTCTGCTCGCTCTGAGGCGCAAGTAATGTATTATATATGAAAATCATTATATTCCGTGGCTTCTCCTACTTTTCTCAGTGATATTTAGTGCCAGTTTATCAGGAAGTGACGATTTTGTTCTCTTTGACTCGTCGGATGGAAACTAAAATATTCCACTTTTGCGCATAAGTTAAATTCACAACTTTGGATAGAAACCCGTCTCGTGATCAGATGACAGAAGGCATTTAGATGGAAGAGCATTGTTAACTAATTGCTTATTAGCATACATATTACTAGTATATTGGCTGTTTATTAGTACTTATAAAGCACATATTAATGCCTTATTTTGCATGACCATATTCTAGATCCCTTAATCCTAAACCCCATATCTAAACTTAACTACTACCTTACTAACTATTATTAAGCAGCACATTAGGAGTTTATTGAGGCAAAAGTCACAGTTAATATAGTGAGAATTGGCCCCTAAACTAAAGTGTGACCAAACTGTGTACTTAGGTTTATGCCTTCTCTTAAATGATATGTTTGCTGAAATCGTTAATTAGGACAGTCAGGTCGCGCGGCTCGTTTACAGGACCGGACAGAAGCAGTTTGCTGTTTATTCGTTTTCGTCTGTGAAATATTCATCTCTGCTTCCTTCTCCAATCCTCCCGGGCTTAATGAATGACCTAGAGGCTGCGCCTGCGCTGACCTTTGACCTCTGCTGTTTCCGGCCTGATGAAATCATTATCAGATGGAAGGCGTTTCAGACCAGCTGCTGTCATGTGAACAACATGAGTGTGTTTCCGTGTTGAGCCGTGTGATCTGTGGTGTTTCGTCACGAACGTCTGATGAATGAAAGAATCAGCAGCACACGAACACACTCCATCACACTGTTACTGACACATAAAAACAGTAGTGTGACTTCTGAATTCAGCCTGTGTCTGGTTCATCAGTCAGTAACTGATTTCACACTTCAGTTGAGTTTATCTTCAGTCAATCAGCACGTTAAAGGAGTCTCAGAGACATGTCTTCCTTTATCTCTCATGTATAGATTGTGTTGCTTTACCCTTGTCTATTGAATCTGAACAAAGAGTAAAATCATATTTATTGTGCACTCTGCACACTATTGACATCATTTGGTCACATTTTATATTAAGTGTCATTAATTATTATGTACTAACACCTGCAGGACTATAGATTTACAGTGTAATTACATGTTGTTCTGGAAAGTTCCCACATTTACTGTAGGGCTCGGTTATAGTTTGGCTGTGGGGTAACGGCTGGGTAATGATTGGAGTAAAGTTAGCAGAGTAACAACAAAAGTTCATTAAATGCAAGTACTTTAAATGTAATTATAGTGCACCCACATGTATGCACATAAGTATATTGTATCAAATGATTAAGTACACACTAGTTAAGGCCACCTAGTTAAGTGTGACCCATCATTGTTTTACATAAACTGCACTTTTCTTGCAGTTATTATAGACAAAATCTGCCCTACATAAAGTGTTTTTGTGAGATTCACCGGAATATCATTTTAGATGTGTGAGAATGAGTGATGTGTGTGTGTGTGTGTGTGTGCGTGTGTGTGTGTGTGTGTGAGTGAGTGTGTGTGTGTGTGGTGTGAGTGTGCGTGTGTGTGTGTGTGTGTGTGTGAGAGAGAGAGACTGTGTCAGGACTGTTGGTGTCTCCTCACGATCACGTGTGTGCTGTGCTGCTGTGCCGCAGGGAGAGTTACGCTCGTGTGAGAGCGGTGGTCATGGGTCGTGATGACTCCAGCGGTGGATGGCTTCCTCTGGGCTCCGGTGGACTCAGCTGCATCACTGTGCACAAGGTCAGCCGGACCGAGGCCGACGGCTCTAGCGGAGCGGATTTCCTCATCCACGGAGAGCGGCTCAGAGACAAAACGGTACTGTGACATCATCATCATGACCTCACGCCTGCACAGGAAGTGTTTGTTCGCCGCTCCTGCATTCAGCAGTTTTTCTGAGAAAAGCCCCAAAATGAAGATCATTCAGAGAGATTATTGAGGCCGATTGAAACTAAAACTCTGGCTTTATAAGTAATGTAAAGCTAATATAAAATGATATAAGCCGGTCGCAGTGACACCGGTGCAGGCGGACGGAAGTCCAGTTCAGAATGAAGCAGAAGCACACGCTCACGTTTCACAGCTCAAACAGCAGCCGACAGATGCTTGTGTTTTCCTGTTAGATTTCACTCAGAAATGCATCACGACTTTAACTTGACAGTGTTATTTTAGTATCATTTTTATTAACATATTGAATTAGTTTTGCTAATACTTTATTTTGATCGTTCACTTCAGACATTCTACTAACTGTAAGTGGCTTTTTGCAGCTACATGTCAACTAACATGTAATTACAAATTAATGAGAGTTAGCTGACATGTTATCGTTAGTAGAATAATAGAATAGGTTGACAGAATAAGTTAGTAGAATAAGTTGACATGTACTTGCAAAGTTACTTATAGTCTGTTGAATGTCTGATCATCAAATTAAAGCAAAATAAATATAGCAGATATTAAGCAGACAGTCTACTAATACTCTAATGACTGCTAGTTGACATATAGTTGCAAAGTTACTGATAGTTAGTAGAATGTCTAAACTGGACTATCAAAATAAAGTGTTACTTTGATTTTTTTAGTTTTGTTTACAGTATTTGATTTATTTTAAAGATTTGGTCATTTAGTTCTGTGTTTGGGCTATTTTTAATGTCTTTGTCATTTTTATTCATTTTTATTCTAGTACTTAAAACGAAATGAAAAAATGAAATGTTGCCTTGGCAACTATGAGAAATTAAGTTATTAAATAAAAATATTAGTTACAAAGTAATTATTTTATATTTTATTTTATTTCAGCTAGCATTTGTTTTATTTCAAGTAATGACATTTTTAGTTCGTTTTTTACAGTTAACTGTAATAACCCTGACACAGTGTTAAAGCACACGCCGCTCATGCTGTGAGATGTAGCTGCTTTGATGAGCGTCAGACACACGTGAGGTTCATTAACCGTGCTCTGTGTGAGTAACGAGACCTCGCTCTGGCTCCAGGTGCTGCTGGACTGCGTCATCAGGAGGGATCTCGTGTATAATAAAGTCAATCCCATCTTCCACCACTGGAGGATCGGCAGCATGAAGTTGGGCCTGACCTTCCAGAGCCCAGCAGACGCCAGGGCCTTCGACCGCGGGATCCGGCGAGCTCTGGAGGACATCACACAAGGTGAGCGGCTCCATTCTGAATCTGAACTGAATCAGCAGCAGCGGCGGTGTGACTCATCTCAGCCTGGAGCTCTAACACATTCATGGAAATGTTTTCAAAATGCACAATGTGTGCCATATAGTGTCTCATTTAACGTCACTCTTGATGAGTTTGTATTTCTGAAAACCACACCACGAGTGCTTTCATTCATGATATTCAGACTGTAGTCAGAAACACATTGACACACTCACCGTGTCAGATAGATTCATTAAAGCGGTGCTTCTTGATCCTGTGGTGCTGTGCGTGTGTCGAGCGCGTCTGCAGTTGAGTATACTTTAAAAGCTGTGCGCGAGACAAAGCACGGAAAGTGAAGTATACCTGGGCCTTAACAAACATGTTTTCCTCCTGAATCATCAATGATCTGAATAATGACTTGCTTTGAAACAATCTGTATTGTATAAAACGCTGTAATCACATTTTTTACAGTGCTTTATACAATGCAGATTGATTCTTCGCAGTAATAAACTGGAAAATGACAGTGTTAATGTTGTAAAATTCACCAGTTTTGAACACAATTCAGATTCTGTTGTTTGTTCCATGTTGAGTTTATGTTTTTAAATCAGCGTGAGATCGTATGACGGCGTTTGTGAAAGTCTGCTCTGACCGCGGCTGCTTTAGTCGCATGTTTCAGCGGCGCTTGGTTCACACGCTCCACCTGATGACGTCATGCTCGTTTGCTGAAGTGGAATTTTCCAGTGTGTGTTGTGTAACGGAGCGCAGCTTCTTCAGTATTCCTGCTGCATGACTCCAGACTGCAGCCTGCCGGCTCTCAGGAGCCTGTTACTGTGGCAACCGGGACACAGCGCTGCTGGACACGTCACGTCAACTCACACACACACTCACAGACACAAACACACACACACTCTCACACACACATATAACACACTCACAGACACACACACACACACACTCACAGACACACACACTCTCACACACACACAGACACGTATAACACACACACACAGGTATAACTAACACACACACGTATAACACGCACAGCCACACACACACACACACTCACACTCACTCACAGACACACACACACGCTCACACACACTCACACACACACCTGGAGCAGTTGGGGGTTTGGTTCTTGCTCAAGGGTCTCTCCTCAGTCGTGGTATTGAGGGTGGAAGAGAGCGCTGGTCATTCACTCCCCCCACCAACAATCCCTGCCAGACCTGAGACTCGAACCCGTGACCTTTGGGTTGCAAGTCCGACTCTCTATCCACGACTGCCCAGATGAACACAGTGCTGCGCTTCACTCTGAAACACACAGCGCATCAGATTATACAGCTGTTTGATTCAATCACAGCCTTTGATTTGATCATCACACTAAGACCTGGCACAATTATCCTGCAGCCCCAATCATTTATTTTAATTTTAAAGTGAATATAATTGTTAGCTTTTCATCCCCTCATAAACCCTCTGTTTGGGAAACTCTGTCTTACGGAGCAGAGAGGCCCATATAAGACTATATGATATCACACTATTTCATTTAAAGATAAATAACAGCAGTGAAATCTATATTGAGTTTACATAATATTTATTCAAATAATTTTAATTATACAAAAGTTATATGAAAAATCATTTGAACTTGATAAAAAATAGATTTATACTTCAGATAGGAACTTCTTGATTCTGTAATCCTATTATGGTATTTTACACAATCGAGGAATTTGTTAAGAACAAACGTGACTAAAGAGAAGTAAACGCTAAGCAGCAGTTCATCAGTAATCTGGCTGGGAATCTCCTGCGTGTCTGCGCTCCATTCAGTGTAGGGATATGCCGGTATCAAATTTTCATGTTGCGATTAATTGCTAATGCTTTTATCACGGTATACGGTATTATCACGATATTGAAATTTAGTTTTAAAAAGTGCTGTCATAACACAGTATAACAGGTTTAATAACATTTTTCTTATAACAAAAATAACTGAACATTTAAATGCAATAAAGCAATACAGAAAAATGTACAAAGTTAAAAGTTTTACACAGATTAAAGTGCAAAAGAATTCAAAATTCTGAATAATTTGTAATATATAATTATTCACGGTATTTAGAAGTGCCCAAGATAACAATATCGTGCATATTCATTACCGTGATATATCGCATTACCGAATACCGGCACAAGTCTAATTCAGTGCTGTCAAAATAAAAGTCCTGCTCACAACACTTATGGACCAAATGGAAAAACTTATCAGCCGATGCCGCAAATGTTGGCCTTGCAGATTAATCAGTCAACCGCTATCTTTGCGGTGTGAGATCTCTGAGTCGTGCTGAAGGGCCCCATAGAGCCGCTGTCTGACGTCACAGCACCGCTGCTGTTTAATGTGTCCTACAGTGATTTTACCACACTTCAGGGAGCTGTTGTGCCTAGCAGCAGTTCTTACCGTGGTAAATCACAATATTAGAAATGCTTCCAATAGTATAGCTGGTGCAGTTTGATCAGAATGTGTGTGATGTTCACCTGCAGGTGGCGCACTGTACAGCGACACGGACGCTCCTGAAGACGCCTCATCACAGGTGAGTGATACCTGCACACACACACACACACACACACACACACTCACACACACACACACACACACACACACACACACACACACACACAAACACACACACACACACA